CTCTCTCTCTCTCTCTCTCTCTCTCTCTCTCACTCTCTCTGTCTTTCTCTCTCGGGCGCTCTCTCTCTCTCTCTCTCTCTCTCTCTCTCTCTCTCTCGGGCACTCTCGGTCTCTCTCTGGCTCTCTCTCTCTCTCTCTCTTTTTCTTTCTCTCTCTCTCTTTCTCTCTCTTTCTCGGGTGCGCTATTTCTATCTCTTGCAAATTTCTGAATCGCGCCGTCACTCTTGCTCTCGCAATCGCATTCTCGTTCTCATCTTGTTTTCTCGCTATATAAGCCACATTCTATCGCTCTCTCTGTTTTTATTTCATAAAATCAATTTTTTTTTAAATAACAATACATCTAAATTATAATATTATTATGTAATTAATTATATTTATTTAAAATATTATGGTAAAATATGGTAAAATATGGTAACCGCGGCTTTGGTATGCGCGGAATGCGAGGAATGCGGCCACTTCCGGCCGCGCCTTCCCGGCTACCCCCGTCACATCCCCCCCTCCTTTCGGAGAGCGAAATTCCCGGCTTTTCGCTCTTTGAAATTCTTAATGCTATTTTTTACTTACAGTTTATACTTGGCGTTTCGACCAATGTCGCACGTCTCCGGTGGCCGGGTCGAGGCGGAGGGCGTATTTAGTTTTCCCGATCCGGGTGCGCCAGCGCTTACTGCCGATGGGCACCCGGATCAGGCACCCGTCCACCAGGACATCCCGCTCCTCCCGCGGTGTCGTCGGTCGTAAGCAAAAAGGGTCGCGGAGCATCCGCGGCGCCGTTTTTCCCGAGGAGACGGGGCCGGATCGGGCGTCCCCTACGGCTGGCACGGGCCCGGGGGTGGTGGCGGCCGGTGCGCTGTTCGTCCTCGGTGCCGGAGGTTGAACGGTCGGTCGAGCGGCTACAACTTCCGCCGGTTTCGGGGCAGCGGCCCCCGCTGCGGAGACGGCACTTCCTGCGGTCGTTGGTGGTCGCAGGAGCCGAAAAGTATGTCGAGGGTATACCTCGATGAGCCGGATGGTAGGCTCGGCGGTCGGAGCGGAGGCAGGAGCGGCGGCGGTCGGTGGCCCATCCTCTTCCTCAGAGAGGTTGACCACCGGCATGTCCTCCGGTGGTCGTCGTCGTCCGGCAATCCCGCGGCGGATCCTCTCCGGGTTATTCCGGACGCGTCGTGAGACGACTTTCCGCCAAAACTTCTCCGCCTTACTCGTTCGGTCGCCCGGTGGATGGCTCGGCGTTAACCCGGCTAGGGGCGGCTTGGCCGGCGGCACGAACATCCGCGGGAGCGTCGGTGTCCTCAGCGTTGGGTCCGTCATGTTGGAAGCTCGGCGACAAACTAATTTTCCCGCGTCCGGCTTGCGAAGTTTTATTGGACGCGCGTGGGTGGAGGGGGAAAGCAGGGTGGCCCTCGTTCGGAAAATTCCGGAAGTAGTTCGCGGAAGTAGTTTGGGCGGGATACAAGTCCGGCAGGAATTTAAGTGAAATACAGGCCCGGCGGTAATCGTAAATAACAGGCGATCGCCGCAAGTTGATCAAAACGCCTTACTATGCTGCGGCTAAGGTCCGGAACTTTTCAGGAAATATCGTCCTCGGAGGTAATCCGGGAAATACAATCTTTCGAAGTAATTTGGCGGGATACAGGCTTCGAAAAATAGTTTGCGCGGAGTACAGGCCCATTAACGTGTCTGGTTTGATTTGAGGTCGCGTACGTGTACACGCGACACGGTATTTTTACCGTCGATGGTTTTCAAGTCGAAAACCACAGGCGATCGCACCCGGTGAACGATAAAAGGACCTTCGAATTTAGCTGCGAGTTTCGCGTTAAAAGCCTCTGCTTTGCTGGACAACTCGTGCGTGCGCTTCCACACTTCCTCCCCGATTTGGAGCCTCCAATCGCGGCGCCGGAGATTATAGTGGTGCTGCTGCCGCTGAAAACTCTGCGCCAATTTTACTTTCGCGAGTTCCAGCGCTTCACGGAGCTGTTTTATTCGCGTTTCGGGATCTTCCTTCTCAGTATTTACAGTTGTTTGGCCTACACTCCCGGACGGTCGCAATTCTCTGCCGAAATTCAAGTAAGCTGGCGTGTATCCTGTTGATTCGCAGTGCGCGGTGTTATACGCATAGGCTATCTCTGGGATGAATCTATCCCATTTCTTCTGGGATTTCTCTATTGTCTGAGAAATCATAGTCTTTATGACCTTGTTTGCTCTTTCAACCGGATTGCATTGTGGTGTGTATGGCGGTGTCAGGCGGTGAGTGATCTGGTATTTGTTGAGCAGGCTTTCGACATCGGTCGAGATAAATTGTCGGCTATTATCGGTGATTAGAATTCGCGGACAGCCATGTCGCAACAGGATTTTCTCTCGGAGGGCCTTCGCTACCGCGGTTCCCGTGGCTTTTCTCATCGGTTGCAATTCAATCCATTTCGTCAGTTTGTCTTGCAAGACCAGAAGCCATGTATTAAGGTTTTCTGATCTTGGAAGCGGTCCGACTAGATCGGCGGCTACGATCTCCCAAGGTTCCTTCACGTCGAGCGCATGTAATGTTCCGGGCGGTTTACGCTGTTCGGCTTTAAATCGTTGGCAATTATTACAATTGCGCACATACTGTGCTGCCTCCCGAAACATTCCAGGCCAATAGTATGTTTTCGCCAGGCGAACGATGGTCTTCGCTATGCCCAAGTGCCCTGCCGGTGGATCGTCGTGGTTTTCACGCAAAATTCTGGTCTTCTGGTCGCCGGAAATACAGATCTTCCATTGTTGTGCTTCAGGAGTCTCGTTGTAGTCGAGCGTATGTAGAATATGCCGGTGGAGCTGGCCATTCTCAATCCGGTAGTCAGGATTTAATTCGGGGTGCTCTTCTACCTCTCGGTACTTTCGGCTGTACCAGTCGGATGACGGAACTCCCGCCGCACAAACTTCGAGCGGTTGTCTGGAAAGCGTATCGGCGAGTAGGTTATCGGAGCCTCTTCGGTACTGGATTTCAAAGTCATACTGCCCCAATTCTAGCGCCCAACGAGCCAATCGTCCGGTAGGGCTCTCGATGGAATTTAGCCACTTTAGGGAGTGATGGTCGGTCAGGACGATGAAGTGATACCCTTCCAAATAGTCACGGAATTTCCAGATGCCCCACTTGATTGCAAGGCATTCTAGCTCGGTTGCCGAGTAATTCTTCTCGGCACTGGTGAGTGTCCGGCTGGCATAGCCGATCACCCTTTCGGATCCGTGTATTTGTTGGGTAAGTGCGGCGCCTAGCCCTTCTTGGCTGGCATCGGTCTGGAGGACGAATGTCTGGCTCCAATCTGGACAGGATAATATTGGAGCATTCGTCAATAGCTTTTTCACTTCATCAAACGCTGCTTGTTGCGTTTCCGACCACTCCCATCTCGCTCGTTTGCGCAGGAGACGGTGTAACGGGGCAGCGACACTGGATACGTCTTTCAGGAAACGTCGGTACCATGAGATCAAACCCATGAAGCGTTGGATTTCTTTCACGTTTCTGGGCGGCGTGAGATTTATTACGGCGGCGGTCTTGTCTGGATCGGTGTGCAGACCATTCTGATCGACGATGTGCCCGAGGTACTTTAATTTTACTCGGGCGAACTGGCACTTTTCCGGATTTGGTTTCAATTTGGCGTTTCTCAGTCGCTCAAAGACAACTCTCAAGGTTTCTAGGTGCTCGTCAAACGTCTTCGAGATGATGACGATGTCATCCAAATATGCGAAGGCGTTCGGGAGCAACTCCGGTGTGATTACTTGATCGAGTAACCTCTGGAACGTAGCAGGCGCAGAATGTAAGCCAAAAGGCATTACATTGAATTCAAATAAGCCCTTCCCTGCAACGGTGAAAGCGGTCAAAGGCTTACTTTCTGGCGTCAGGGGCACTTGCCAGTACCCGTTCTTTAAATCGATGGTCGACAAGTATTTTGCCCCTCTGAGCTTATCCAATGTCGCGTTGATTTGCGGCAATGGATAAGCGTCTTTGCGGGTGACTTTATTCAATTTCCGGTAGTCGATGCACAGGCGCGGTTTGCCGTCCTTTTTCTGGACTACAACGATCGGAGAACTCCAGGGACTGGTTGATGGTTTAATTACTCCTTCGTTGAGCATTTTCTCGATCTCCTCCTCGATGATGCTTTGCATCGCCGGGTTTCTTGGCCTATAACGTTGTTTGATAGGCGACGGATCTTCCAGCCTTATCTCGTGCTGGATGAGAGGAGTGTTCCCCTTGATATCCCTGAAACTTTCCATCTCGGTTTTGAGAAAAGCGTCGAGTCTGGTTTTCTCGGTTTTCCTCAGGTGCGTGAGTCCTCCTGGATTTTCCACGGAGCTGATGTCCGTCCTGGCCCCTATATTATGGATCCCTTGTTCGGCGAGGAAGATTTTGATTCCCATTTTATTTAGGGCATCCATACCTAGCAGGATGTCGTGGCTTAGGTTTTTCATAATTAGGAGCGTCTGCTCCGTGGAAATGCCCATTGTTCCAATGGTTCCGGTCAATTTATTTTCCAATACGGTTTCGGTGCCGTCAGCCAGGACTGCGATCCGGTGATCCTTATGTTGTCTCCACCCGGCTTGCCGACAGATTCTGGCCGTCTCCTCACTGCAATATGAGTTCACCGAGCCGGTATCGATAAGCGCTGTGCATTTGTATGTGCCTATCTTTACGGACACGAACGGTCGATTCTCGCTGGTCGTTCTTAATTTTGAGCGGGCCGGTCTCGACTTCCGTCGTCGCCGGCCCCTCTGTCGTTTCCCGGCTTCTGGCACTGACACTCCTTTGTTAACTTCCCGTCGGTGCCGCAGTAGGAACAAAATTTCTTCGCCGGGTTTTTGCATCGGAAGCGGTTGTGACCCCTTTGCTTACACTTCCAGCAGCAGGTCGTACGATCATACGCGGTGGCCAGCGATGTTCGCGGCTGAGGTGCAATTTTCCTGGCCTCTGGCTTGCCTCTGGACTTTTCGTTCTCAAGCTGCCTCCTGGTTTCTTCCAACTCTTCGACCTTTTGGACTAGTTCGGTCACGGTTTGCACGGTTGCCCTGGGGATGTACAGTCGGTATTCAGCTCGCGAATTGTAATAAATCGTGTCGAGCTGCTGGTCGGGCGTGTAATCCCCTCGGCGGCGCATAAGAGTCATGATGGCGGTTGTAAATGCCCGAATCTTTTCGCTAGCGCCTTGTTTTCGGTCGTGTATTTGTTGATCTAATTGGCGTAATTCGCCTGGAGACAAATAGTAGCTTCTAAGGCCGGCTTTCAAATTTTTCAGGGTCGTGCATTCCGACTGGAAATTTCGGAACCACAATTGCGCCTCGCCTCGAAGCAATTCCGGGAGGCCTTTCAATATTTGCTCGTCCGTTAGAGTGTAGGCTCGTTGTAATTCTTCGATCCGTTCCAGGAACGTGTACAGGTCACGCCCATCGAAGTGGCAATTCCACTTTCTCATCTGATCGAGGATCTTTGTCTCGTCTATTCTAGTTTGATCCCTCGTTGGCGTGGAATGTCGCATTTGTCTTAGCTGGTCCAGCTCGACTTGCAGTCTTTGCGCTTGTCTGAGCTGGTCCAACTCGGCCTGCATCCTCTCCATGTCGCGAGTCCGGTCAACTTCCTCGTTATAGCCAGGAGCGTCTACAGGTTTCTCCTGGTACTCCTCCGGGTGCGATCGTATGTACGCCACCAATCTCTGGCGTAAGGTGGCCAAATGCCCCTCGGAATCGATTCCTTTCTCGATCAATTCGAGCTGTACCATGTCCTTAGATAGGGCGTATACCCAGGACACTCGCGGAGTGGTCGCCATTATGTCTATCGGGGGAGGAACTTCTATTCGTGTTTTCTAACGGTATTCCCTCACGGGGCTACGGATTCTGCCTAACGGTAACGGACTTATCTTCCCTCCAAGCGATCTGTTTTACTCCTTACTGCATAGAAACTCTAATAATTTTCCCACACAGCAGGTCCCTGTTCGGGCGCCATGTAACGAACGTAATTATCTCGGTCTAGCTCCTCCCGGTTCCGGACAGGATTCCGGCAGGAATTATTTTCAATCGGACACGCGGTTCCGATTGACGGTTGGAGGAGCTAGCGTTCTCGCGGTCGGTTTTTTTGACGTGCTGTGTGTCGGTTAGAATAGATCCTCCGTTCCTCCTGTTGCCGAATATGCTCAGCTCCAGGGCCGTCGGGAGGAAAGGAGGCAAGGTAGATTTTAATTCGCTTAATAGCTTGGAAAGGATCGGAAATAAGTCTTACAGGTAGTTTTCGGTATAACAATAAGCACAAGGTTTATTCAGGATATCTACAGCGGAATAGAGGTAATTACAAA